GACAGGGACCCTGCACATGAGACCTGTGTTTTGTCTCTTTCATCTCAATTTCAGGGTGGTTTGGTCATCGACACCGCACCTAATCTACCCCCTAATCTACCTCCTGCCCCTCACTCTCCCATCTGCATATCAGCAGATGACTCACTCTGCCCTCAAGGGGGCGCTCACACCCAACCACACCTGCTTCAACACCCCACCTGCCCCTCCCTGGGATTGATCTCATTCAACAGGTGACATAAGATACCAGGTCTGGAGGGTGCCCACATTGTTGGCCTGGCTGTCCCCCTTGGGGCCCTCTTTCTCAGCCCCTGTATTCATTGGCTAGGGCCACCATAACACAGTACCACAGACTGGGAGGCTTAGCAACAGAAATGTGTTATCTCACAGTCCTGGAGGCTGGAAGTCTGAGATCAAGGTGTCATCAGAGCGGTTTCTTCTGAGGCCTCTCTCTTCGGCTTGCAGACAGCCGTCTTCTCTCTCTGTCCTCGCACGGTCCTCCCTGTGTGTGTCTGTGTCCTAATCATCCTCTCTCACAATCTCCGCCAGTCATATTGGATTGGAGCCCACTCTAATTATTTTTGAAGGTTATTTTCTTATTTTTATTAAAGTATACTATGGTTGATGTACAGTAATATATATGTTACAGGTGTACGATATAGTGATTCACACTTTTTAAAGATTATATTCCATTTATAGTTATTAAATACTGACTATATTCCCATGTTGTACAGATATCCTATAGTTTATTTTATGCATAATAGTTTGTGCTCCCTAATCCCCACTCCTATTTGCCCCTCCCCTCTTCCTTCTCCCCACTGATGACCATTAGTTTGTTCTCTGCATCTGTGGGTCTGTTTCTTTTTTGTTCTATTCACCAGCTTGTTGTATTTTTTAGACTCCACATATATATGATGTCATACAGTATTTTTCTTTCTCTGCCTGACTTATTTCACTAAGCATAATACCCTCCAAATCTATCCACGTTGCTGCAAATGGCAAAATGTCATTCTTTTTATGGCTGAGTAGTATTCCATTGTGTGTATATATACCACATCTTCTTTATCCATTCATCTGTTGATGAACATTTAGGTTGCTTCCATATCTTAGCAACTGTATATAATGCTGCTATGAACATTGGGGTGCATGTATCTTTTCAAATTATTATTTTTGTTTTTTTCAGTATAAACCCAGATGTGGGATTGTGGGTCATATGGTAGTCCTATTTTTAGATTTTTAAGGAATCTCTCTATACTGTTTTCTATGCTGGCTGCACCAATTTACATTCCCACCAACAGTGTACAAGGGCTCCCTTTTCTCCACACCCTCAACAACATTTGTTATTTATGGTCCTTTGATGACACCATTCTGAAAAGGCCCACCCTAATTTTAACTTTATCATCTCTTTAAAGACCCGCTCTCTAAATATAGTCACATTCTGAGGCACTGGGGTTTAGGACTTCACCATATGAATTTGAAGGGGTGGAGGACACAATTCAATGCATAGCAGTCACTCCACCTTTGAGTTGCTACAGCAATTGCCAAGTTCATTCCTGTTCTCAGGAGCCCACTTTCATTTCCCACTCTGACCACATGCAGTCGGGGGACCTCCCCTTGTGAACCCCACTGCCTCCAGGAAGCAGAGGAACAAGGCTGGGGCCCAGGACTCCTCCCCCCACCCCTCCCTGCGGAGACTCAGACGGGAAGGGATGCCCTGGGCCTCCCGATGAAGCACTTCGCGCCCCATTGAACAGCCTATGCTTCTTTATTTAGCTCTTTCCTGCAAAGGCTTTTGTGTGTGGGGTGGTGTCTACAGGGAGTCGGGCACGGAGCCAGGACGCGGATGGAATGGGGAGCCCAGCAGACACGGGCCCTGGCGATAACCGAGGACACAAACAAACAAACATAGAATTGCAAACTGTGATGAGGGGAATTCTTTTGTCCACAGATGTTCATTGAATTTCCACTGGCGCTGTTCCGGGTGCTGGAGATAAATGAAGAAAACAACAAAGATCACTGCTCCGGAGGAGCTACATTCTAGTACAGACGGACAACAGCAGGAAAAAACCCACATAGAATAAAACAGAAACATAAAATACACCACATGTCAGTTGAGGACAAGTTGTGGAGAGTGAGCTCGACTTAGGGATGTGCTTCTGTGAACAGGGCACGGGAGGGGAAGAACTGTGGCGCCAGGTGGAGAGACCTGATGCCCACTACCTTGGCCGTGTGGTCAAGGTCAGCTTCACAGTGATGTGTCGTGTTGACACCCGTCTGCTGTGGGGTGATGATAAGGAAGCATCACCTGTGTGGGACCTGCCCCCAAACACGTCACTCTAATCATGAGAAAGCACCATACAGACCCTGACTGAGGGCCATTTGACAAAATACCTGACCTGCAGTGCTCTTCAAAAGTGTCAAGGTCACGAAAAGCACACAAAGCCTACTGCTATGGATTGAAGGTTTGTGTCCCTCAAAATTCGTATGTGGAAATCCTCACCCCAATGTGATGGTATTAGAAGATGGGGCCATTGGGAGGGGACAAGGTCATGAGGATGGAGCCCTCATGAGTGAGCCCCTGTGTAGAAGCCACCCGGTCTGTGGCATTTTGTTAGTGTCCTGAACAGGCTAAGACATCTGAGCGACTGTCACAGGCCAGATAAAACTCAGGGGATGTGGAAACTAAATGTAATGTGGTTTCCTGGATGGGATCCTGGAGGAAAAAATTAGTGGAAAACTGGTGAAATCGAAATAAATCTACCGTACCAGGGTTCACTTCTTAGTTTTGAGACATAGACCATGGTGACATCAGATGTTTATGTCACAGGAGCTCTCTGTACTGTCATTACAACTTTTCTGTATATCTAAAATTGTTTCAAAATAAAAAGTTGGTTTTTTAGTAAAACGCTAAAAAAATAGTAGAGAATATGAGGAGGTGAAGGAGTTACAAAGACAGAAGCAGGAGACCAGTTAAGGAGGAGAACAGGGCACTAAGAGAGACAATCAAGGACCTTCTGCAGCCCGGCATCCAGAGGGGCCCCTGGGGCAGTGGCATTGAAGCCGAGATCTGAGGGACAAGCAGGAGTTAATGGGCAAATGCTACTTGTGCACTTCATGAGTGAAAACCCAGAGGTGGGAGAGTGTGTCCTGTTGACAGAACTGACAGAGGACACATGAGGTTGGAGCCCGTGAGGCTATCTCTTCATCAGCAACTGTGACGATGTGCAGGCTGTGCGAGGTAGGGGCAACACTAAAAACACTAGTAGCACTTGAATGCCACTTGCTACACGTGTGACACTGTTCTAAGCCTTCTGTAGACATTGTCTCAGTTAATAAAGAGGCAGAGAGGCACTGCCGCAAGGAGCTGGGATGGCAAACAGGTGACGTCAGTGACTTTCTCTTGTTTCTTACAGCGCTGCACCCCAGAGTGGACCACCTGTCACCTTTCTCCAAGGAATGAAGTGGGAGTGAGGTGACACCAAGGTGGCAACAGCTACAGACACAAAAGTGTTTTGGCCACTTGGGAGAATCCAGTAAGAGAGATCACTTGCCATTCCTGATGGTGATTTTCCATGAAGACATGCAGAGTTCAGATAAACAAACGCCCCTACACACACCCACACTGTTACTCACACACGTGTGCACACATGCATGCACACACACAGCTTTCTGGAGACGGGTGACTTCTAGCAGCTAATACGGCTGCAGCCTCTGGAGCTCATCACTCACTGTGTATCAGCGGGGTTGGGGGTGGTCCTCAGAGTCTTCCCCTCTCTGATCCCCTGCTTCTCCGTCAGTCTCTCCCGAAGAGGCTGCTGTGAACCCGTTTGTGGATCTGAGCAGCAGGTACATGTGTCTTCAAGGATGTTAAGGGGCGGGGTGGGAGGGCCGATCTGGCAGGTGTGGGATAAAGGTGTGTGAGCTGGGGGCAGGGCTTCTGCTCTCAGGTGTGCTAAGCGTGGGCGAACAAGTGTCCCTCGGGGTTTGGATGCACACGCAGATAGTGCTTATCTGCCGTCACAAGACGGGAGAGCCCAGGGTTATTTGATTCTGCCCAGACTCCCGGGAATCTGTGCCCCCTCCTCCCTGGCAGCTGCTACCCGCCAGCTTCAGGGCCTGCGGACTCTCAGATTCTCTGCCCTGACAGGCCTAGACACCATTCATTTCTAGGCATTTCTCCAGCTAATCCTTGCAGAACGACAGCCAGGTAACACAAACCCAGGCATGTCCTCAAGACTCCGCCCAGAGGTCCTTCCTCGGTGCAGCCTTCCTGACACCCCCAGACCCATCTCTGGGCTCCCACTGCCCCTACACCCCACAACCCCTTCATCACTCCCCACACTGTCTGGGTACCATCTCTCTGCTTGTCTGTGTCTCTCGCACACCGTGAAGTCCCCGGGGGTTCGAATCATCTAGCTGGCATGGCCCTGGGTCAGTGAATGAAGAGGCCATTTGAGGGTTAGGCTCCAGAAGATTCCACCTTCTGGTTCCAACCGGTCTGGGGTCTGCATGCTTGTAGGTATCACATGGTATTTTTCTTTCTCTTTCTGGCTTACTTCTGTTAGAATGACGATCTCCAGGTCCAACCATGTTGCTGCAAATGACATTATTTTATTCATTTTTATGGCTTAGTAGTATTCCACTGTGTGTGTGTATATATATACACACCACATCTTCTTTATCGAGTCATCTGTTGATGGACATTTGGGTGGTTTCCATATTTTGGCTATTGAAATTGTGCTGCTATGAACATTGGGGTGCATGTGTCTTTCTGAATTATGTGTTTCTCTGGGTATATGCCCAGGAGTGGGATTGCTGGATCATATGGTAAGTCTATTTTTAGTTTTTTAAGGAACCTTCACACTGTCCTCCATAGTGGCAAGCAGCACCTTTGTATAACCCAGTCTCGGAAGTGATGCCCCATCCCTTCTGCCATATCCCCTTTATTAGAAATAAAGTCCATTCCAGCTCAAGGGGAGAGTAATTAAACCCCATCCCTTGAAGTCAGGATTGTCAAAGGATTTGTGTACATACGTCTTAAATGACCAGAGTACTGTAACCTCAGAATCCAGTGGAGTGACTGTTCTCACATCAGAGTCTTAATTAAAAAGGGATGGACCGAATGAATAAGCAAGTGAGTGGGTGAGGGAGGAGGGCATTCCTGCCCTGCTTTGCAGAGGAAAAGAGGAGAGGCTCGGAGAGGCTGAAGTGTGTATGAGGCTGTCAGGTCAAAGGACATGGGCGGCTGCTCTTACCTTAACAATTCTTGTGACCCAAGAATTCTCAGATGTTCCCTGGAGCGTGGAAGGCAGTACAGAAAGGGAGCCAATGATGGCAGTCTGTAGTAGCTCGTCCCTCCTCAAAGGAAAACAAGATACAACAGGAGGAGAAATGGATGACTAAGGAGCAGGCAAAACAGAGACAGGTATTCCCCCTGCTCCTGCCAAATGCTTCTGCGGTCGCCTCCCCAGATCTGATCCACACAAGGACACAGCCAGGGGCTGGCTGGACTGTGCTGAAGGGAATTTGCAAACTTACCTCAGAGCTGCAGCCAGCATCATCCCCGGGACTACAGAACTAGGTCCGTGCAAACACAGCCAGAGAGCCTGGGTGCCAGGGCAGAGCAGAGCCCAGAAGCCCCCGGCCTGTAAGAGAGAAGGCAGAGCCTGCTCTGGGGTTCGGGCTGTTCTTAATATCATTTCATCCTCCTAAGAATTGTTTAAGGAGCCATAAACGACAAAAGAGGTTCAGAGAGGTGAAGTAACTGGCTTAAAGTCACCCAGCTGGTGGACGGCGGCAAAGCCACGATGCCAAGGGAGCAAGGCTGAGGGAGGCCCCTTCCATGACCCCTGCCTCCTCCACCTCCTGGAAGAAGCTCTCTGGAGGAAACTGGCATTGGTCCCTTCCAGCTTGTGTGCTCCATGGAGGTGGTACACCCTCTTACTTGGATTCCCCGCTGCCTCCAGTCGAGCCCCAGAAATACAATCATCCGTTTGCAGGGCCAGCTCACACGGGAACACAGCCCTTCTCTAAGGCTTCCTTAGCCCACTTGTGCCAAGTCAGCATTCACGAAGCAGAAGTAGCAACACAAAGGCAACGACCTCAGAAAACAGGAGACAGCATCACAGCGGTCAAGCTTCCAGAATCCGAATCAATTCAGTTCCCATGGACTCCATATGAGTCTGGGGACAGTAGGAGTGACTGTCCCATGAATGGAGCACCTGCCAGCCTCAAGGCAGGGGCAGAGCACTCGAGGCATACCTTTACCTACTTGAGGCGGGTGCTATGGCCACACTCACACAGGCTCCAAAGGCTGGTGCCAATTCAGCCCCTGCCTGTCTCTCCGCCTTTGTGCTTCTGGGTTTCTTGAGCCCTGGAAATAGGCTCCTGGAAACCTTGGCCCTGACTCCACCTTAGGGGTGCACCTTCCAGCTTCCTTTGGGCTGCTCACCTGGGTCCATTTCAAGTCAAAGAGACACGTGCATCCCAGTATTGGGGCCCGAGGCAGGCCACCCCAAAATATACTTCAATGGCATGTTGATTATTTTGGTTTAAAGTTACTTAAGAAATGGCCAATACAGGGGGGATGGATAGATTAGGAGTTTGAGATTAATAGATACACACTACTATATATAAAATAGATAAACAACAAGGACCTACCGTACAGCACAGGGAATGATATTCAATTTCTTGTAATGATCTGTAATGGAAAAGAATCTGAAAAATATATATATGTCTGTATATGTATAATTGAATTGCTTTGCTACACACATGAAACTAACATTGTAAATTGACTACACTTCAGTAAAACTAAGAATAAGGAAAAAAAAAGAAATGGCCAATGCAAGAGGGACACTTTGGCCTTCCTCTCTGTTTCCCTTAAAGCAGAAACTAAGTCTCCCACGTGGAAGGTGCACCCCCTGCATCTGGCGGAAGAAGGACTCCCTTCTCATCAGAGATGGGGGATGCGGAGCCGGGAAGCCTGGGTTAGCAGACCTCGTCATTTCTTTTTTTTTTTTTAACATTTTTTATTAAGTTATAGTCGTTTTACAATGTTGTGTCAAATTCCAGTGTAGAGCACAATTTTTCAGTTTTACATGAACATACATGTATTCATTGTCACATTGTTTTTCACTGTGAGCTACCACAAGATCTTATATATGTTTCCCCGTGCTATACAGTATAATCTTGTTTATCTGTTCTACATATGCCTGTCAGTATCTACAAATTTTGAAATCCCAGTCTGTCCCTTCCCACCCCTCTCCCCCTTGGCAACCACAAGTTTATATTCTATGTCTATGAGTCTGTTTCTGTTTTGTATTTATGTTCTTCTTTTTTTTTTTTTAGATTCCACATATGAGTGATCTCATATGGTATTTTTCTTTCTATTTCTGGCTTACTTCACTTAGAATGACATTCCCCAGTGACATCCATGTTGCTGCAAATGGCGTTATGTTGTCATTTTTATGGCTGAATAGTATTCCATTGTATAAATATACCACATCTTCTTTATCCAGTCATCTGTTGATGGACATTTAGTCTGTTTCCATGTCTTGGCTATTTTAAATAGTGCTGCTAACCTTGTTACTTCTTTAATGTACTCCTCCAAGCCCAAAGTCTGTTTAAATTCTTCACTAATTCAACACTTAACACTTATATTTATTTGTCCTATCAACCTCACTAATTTATTGTTTCTTTGTCAAAAAAGTATAAAAGCTGCCTGTTTTGACCATTTCCTTAGCTCCCATTTCTAGGAGACCTCTGCACACGAGAATGAAAATTCCCTCCACAGGAATTATGATAGACTGACATCTGGAGGTGATTGACCTCTCCTATAAGATTCCTCCCAATGAAGATCCATGAATGTCCCCTATATTGAACGTTCTCTAAGATCACTTCTTAGATGGCTCCTTGTTGATCAAGTGTGGCCATAAACTCTCTAATAGCATACCTCTTGCACAGCCAACTCTTTTCCTCCTCCATGGGACATGATTCTCTGGGAATAAGCCTTCCTAGCACTGAAGAAGTCAGTGCTGATGCCAAATAAACAAATGGTTGATCATTAATGCTTTTCCAAAAAAAGATTTCAATCAAAAGGGGTAAATGTGAAAGGAAAATAAAAATGGTGTCAGTATTGCTAGGAGAGCTCTCTTGAATGAAGTCAGGGGCTGCTGAAAAAGTGTGATTATGCACATCTCAGCCCAAATGGAATCTGAATTTTCATCAACTATTTTCTTAAACAAGCATCTAGAACATCTGCCTAATGTTTCAGACTCAAGACACATATTGGACACATATCCTAAAATAACTCATGACTACCTAGCCACTTATTGGAACCTTACCCTAAATAAATCATGATGGCCTATCTCTTAAGGACAACGATTTCTCTTCCTGTGTCAGAGTCAATCATAATTCTTGCCAGATAACTTTAACAGCCTCATGGTTTCTGTCTTTATAAACTCTGGACACATCTTCTTCCTCAGAACATGCTTTTGGTTTTACCAGAATCTGTATTTCCTGAACTGTAATTCCTAAGACCCTAAAAAAGACTCTTTTCTCATTTGCAGGCTTCTGTGTTTTCTTAGTTGACATATATTCTTCTCCCTTTCACTGCTTTAGGCCTGTGAGACAGTGCCCTTCAGTATGTAAAGTATATACGAATCTCCTGGGGAGACTGTCAGGATACAGATGCTGTATCAGTAGTTCTGGGGTGGGCCCCAAGAGTCTACCTCTCTAGCAAGCTCCCTGCTGCTTGTCCTCAGACCACATTT